TGAGTACTGGGTGTTGCGTTGGAGACGGAGGCAGTTGAGTAGAAGGTTATTTTCAAGTTCAGCTGGGGGAGGGGGCCTGTTGAGTATCGGGTGTTGTGTTGGAGAAGGAGGCTGTTGAGTACTTGGTGGTGTGGTGGAGGCGGAGGGGTTTGAGTAGAAGGCTCCGAACTTGAGCCCAAAAAATCTTCCAAAAAAGAGCGTCAAACTTGAGTCCGAAAATCGTGGGAATCATATATAAATTCATATATAATCATGAGAAAGGGGGGTTCTTGGTGGGTTCGGAGGGCTATATGTATAGATGTATGTATACACACATGGATACGTGTACACACTTCTGCACACTGTGTACTATATAGTACGTGTAGTTTTATGTGTTCATGTCTTGGTACGGCGAAAATGTCTGACTATACTGTCCAGGGAGATGCCGATCGAGATCCCCCGATCGAGATGCCGATCGAGATCCCCGCGCAGCTTATGCTTATAGTTTACATATACACATGTATACCGTCGGGGCGTTGACCTAAGGAACCCTAAATAAGGAACGAGGCCCCTTTTCCCCAGAAGTTAGACTTCGACTTCCCACCGAAAATCCAAGGACCACCTGAGGCACAGTGTGAAACAGTGAAGGACCACGGAGCCCCTCCCCAACGAAAAGGGTTCCTTGTTCAGCGCCCCGAATGTATAAAAGAAAGTGCTGCGAACCTGTACGATCATACTGTTCAACTAGATGTCGATCGAGATCCCCGTTTGAAGAGTGAGCGTCCCCATTGCTGCACAATGTTGGCACTTCTGGTCATGAGCTCGGAAGAAGTCTCGAGCGAGAGCCCGACTTTGAAGCCGGGCCGCCCTATGTGCAAATACAACATGTGTTCACGGCTATCGTTGTCACTTGCAGGAAATCCAAAGCAACCAACCTTTTGCTAAAGAAGAGCCGTCCTTCACTCCTGTAAGTGTTACATTGTTTCAGACGGATGCGCGCGGCGCTAAGGCTGGAGTCCCCGATTGAAAAGGAGCCGCTCTCCATCCCTGACGATGCTGCAGACTTGCGAAACGAATGTGCGCGGCGCTAAAGCGGCAACCCCATCTGGAAAACGAGCCGACCTCCATCATTGACACGGCTGCGCACGTTTAAGACGAATGCACGCGGCGCTAAAGCGAGAGCCCCCATTTTGAAAGAGACCTCTGCCCCATCATTGAAACGGTTGCCAGCGATTAGAACTGATGTGCGCGGCGCAAAAGCGAGATCCCCACTTGAAACAAGGTCTCCTCTCAATCCTTCAAACTGGTGCAAACTTTGAAACGAAGGTGCGCGGCACTAAGACGAGAACCCCATTTTGACCCCCCTCATCTGCGTAGCCATTGCGAATGTCACGCTTGAGGATCATAAGTGGTGGGAAGGCCTCATGTGGAACGCCCTACAAGGAACAGGGATGGAGGAGGAGGTGGAGGAGGAGGAGGATGAAGATAAGGAGAAGGAGGATGAGGAAGAAGAAGAACGCAAATGGCCCAAAGAGAAGTGGACGAAACGGCCTAGAACACAACAGAGCACACCTCGTGTGTCCTCCCTGCTCTCCCGTTCTCTTCTTGTTTCCTTGTCTTCTGCCATTGCTTTTGTCTGCTCCTGTGTGCCCTCACCAGGTGCAATACAAATGGTTCAGATCGTCTCCAGGGAGGCATGGCAGGAGACCAACTCCTCAAGAGAGGAGGAGGAGGAGGAGGAGGAGGAGGAGGAAGAGGAGGAGATGAGGAGGAGGAGGATGAGGAGAGAGGAGGAGAGAGGAGGAGGAGGAGGGAGGAGGAGGAGGAGGAGGAGGAGGAGGAGCAGGCGGAGGCGGAGCAGGAGGAGGGGGAGGAGGAGGAGCAGGAGGAGGAGCGGCGGATGCGCTCCTCCGCGGCGCCAGCGACGACGCTCTCGCTGGCCCGCGGCGCCCTTGGGAAGCATGCCGTCGTGGCCGACGGGTGGTCGGCACCTGGCGTCGTTCCCCACGCGCCCGCCGCAGCTGGACCACCGAGCGCAAGCAAGACGAGGAGGGGCAGGAGGAGGAGGAGGAGGAAGAGGGCGAGGGCGAAGCTGATGATGATAGTGCTGCTGCTGGTGATACTGATGATGATGATGATGATGATGATGATGATGATGATGATGATGATGATGGTGGTGGTGGTGGTGATGATGATGATGATGATGGTGATGGTGGTGCAGAAGCTGATGATGCTGGTGATGCTGCTGATGATGCTGGCGATTACGAAGAGGTGCGGGGAGATGGTGGCCAACTGGCCTGGGAGAGGAACGCGGAGCGAGACAAAGAGTTCGGCGGGAGGTTAAGGGCCCACGGAGACCCCACGGCCGCCCAGAGCCCGAATTACCACCCGGGAAGAGCTTGGAGCCTCGGGGCACCTTCGGGGACCCCACGAGGAGACCTTGTCCGCCGGCGGCGAGGCAGAAGCAGTCCGCACCAACGTGGGGCTTCAGCGGGGCCGCCGGCTGGCGAATGGTGTCCGGCGTGCAGGAGGGGAAGGAGCGAAGAGACGAGGGCGGCCGCGAGCTTCCCGAGGAGACACGCGGGGAGGGGAGGACGGGACGGGGGGGGGACGGGGGGAGGGAGGAGGGGGGAGGGGAGGAACGGAGGGACGGAGGGAGGAACGGAGGCACGGGGCGAGGAACGGCGGGGCGGGGGGAGGAACGGAGGGACGGGGGACGAGCTTCGAGGCTTCTGGCGCCCTCTCCTGCGCCCTTTGGTCCTCCTCTACCCCCCCCCTCAACATTTTACGTTGTACGGACATCGGCTTTACAGCTGTTGTGTCTGTACTCTCCTCCTCCTCCTCCTCCTCCTCCTCCTCCTCCTCCTCCTCATCCTCATCCTCCTCCTCCTCCTCATCCTTCTCCTCTTTCGGCATCGCTTTTCCTCCTCCTCCTCCTCCTCCTCCTTCTCCTCCGCCTCCTCCTTCTCTTTCGGCTCCGTTCGTTCGTTCCTCCTCCTCGTCCTCGTCCTCGTCCTCCTCCTCCTCCTCCTCTTTTCTCCCCTCCTCCCTGCGCCCTTCCTGAGCCGTTTCTGGCCTCCTCCCCCTGGCCTCTTTTCAAACTGGCAACACGGCTCAACATCCCGTGGCTCAGCAGGGCCCTGATGCCACTCTCCCTGACGAGTGGCGGGCCAGTGGAGTGCTAGGGGCTCGATTCCCAGCTGATGCACTCTTTCCTGCGCTCCAGTGCGCGTCTTGGCTCGAAGCGCCTCCTGAACGCAACGCATGCCCGCTGAACATGCCATGGCGCGCTGCGAGAGCTGGAGGCATGCCGTCACGGCGCCGAAGGCGCAAGCATGGGGAGGCTCCAAGAATTGAACCCGGGACCTCTCGCACCCGAAGCGAGAATCATGCCACTAGACCGAGCAGCCAGCTGGAATGTGCCTGTGTCTGGCCGTGCATTTGGCACCTGCCAGCATCAGCGGTCCAAGACCTATCGCGCCCACAGTGAGGGTCACGCCCTCCCCGAGCAGCCATGGAGCTTGGTGAACTGCAGTCGTCTGCCGACGTAGCCTCGCGATTCTAGAGCTCTCTGGTGCGCACCTGTACATCACACGCGGCGCAGTTCGAGGCATCCCGAGGCCCCAGAACGTACACAAAAACTTCGATTCCCCCAAGACCACCCAGAATGCCCCATGACCCCAAGCATGTGGCCAAAGACGTCCACAGCCTTCTCGATCCTCGATCCTGTCTCCTGCTCGACCCTGCGGCAAAGAGCATCAAGGTCATGCACCCAACGTCTTCTCGACCCAGTGCCGAAACGAGGAGGAGGAGGAGGAGGAGGAGGAGGAGGCTGGAAAGGGCGTCGGAAAGGGCCAAGCAACCTCGATCTTCCTTCCCCCCGGCCCTTCCTCCTCCATCTCACACCCGAGGACGCAAACAGGAGCTTCGACCCCGACTGGCTTTCGGGTTATACGTACCTCGGCTCTCTGGGGGCCATTCAGGAAAGCTCTCGGCGAGGCGCAGCTGCTTGCAAGCGCCCCGAGGCTGAACAAAACGCCGAGAACAGACGAACACGTCCAAACACCTCTACTTGGATGACCGCGGGGGTTGCTGAGGGGATGAAGGGAGCAGAAGTGGATGCTAAGGTCGTTGTATCTGGCCTAACCTAGCTGAACAACAGGTGGCACATACCCTGGATGGCCTAGGGGGAATGCAGCTCTGGGGTAACTGGGCGGAGCCCGCTTCGCGGAGTTCTCTAATCACCTAGAGCAGCCCAGGGCACTTGTAACCCATGTGTCATAGGTCGGACCAGATCTACCCCGCCGTAGCAGTCAATACTTTTCGGACGGGAGGAGGGCGAACGAGCGCAACCACGAGAGCTCGACATACGCGAAACCACCGTGCGAGCTCCGTCGTCGGCGGCGGGCAGGCCCAGAGCGCCACAGAAGCCGACCTGGAACAGGCCAGCTCGCGCAGAGAACCTAGGCCCGTGAGGCACTTTTTGTGCGTCGGCGGCGAGGCAGAGGAAGTCTGCGCTAGCGGAAAGGCCTAAGCGGGGGTGCCCAAATGGCGAACTGTGCCACCGTGCAAAGAGGGGAGCAGGAGGAGGGTGCGGCCGGAACAGGGGGCGGAATAGGCATGTGAGAATCAAGCGGGCCTCAGGCTCCGCTTCGAACCTCCCGACCCCCTGAGCACCCCCTCCTCCTCCTCCTCCTCCTCCTCCTCCTCCTCCTCCTCCTCCTCCTCCTCCTCCGCCTCCGCCTCCGCCTCCTCCCTCCTCCTCCTCCGCCTCCGCCTCCTCCTCCTCCGCCTCCGCCTCCGCCTCCTCCTCCTCCTCCTCCTCCTCCTCCTCCTCCTCCGCCCCTCCTCCTCCTCCTCCTCCTCCGCCTCCTCCTCCTCCGCCTCCTCCTCCTCCTCCTCCTCCGCCTCCTCCTCCTCCCCGTGCCCCGTCAGGGCTCTGGACGAACCTCCCAACCGCCTGAGCACCCCCCAGTGGTGGTCTCCGTGGGGGGCGGGCGCCCTGGGGGGCCCAGAGCGGCCTCGCACGGGCGTGCGCGGCAGGCTGCTGCCCGGGGGGCAGCCCTGCGGCAGCCCGCGGGCGGCCTCCTCGTCGGCCTCGCAGTCCCTCGCGTGCGGCGGGGAGGGGGAGGGGGAGGAGGAGGAGGAAGAGGAGGCGGAGGAGGAGGAGGAGGAGGAGGCGGACGAGGAGGAGGAGGAGGCGGAGGAGGAGGGAGGAGGAGGAGGGCGGAGGAGGAGGACAAAGGAAGATGAGGAGAAGGAAAAAGGAAGAAGAGGAGGAGGATGAGGAGGAAGACCAACCCTCCGTCCAAGCTCCCTATTCATATGCCCCTACAACGGTTCATTTCAACTTGGGGAACTGCCTCGTTGGAAGACAACCGTTTGAAGGCCATGGAACATGCTAACACATCGTTCTCGGCATTCCAACACCACGGATCAACCTGACTGTTGCGTCTCGTTGATCCTGCAATTTGCCAGAGCGCCATTCCTGTGACTTCAACACCGCGAATCGACGTAACTGTTGCACCCTCATAATCCAGAATCCGCCCTCAATTCGCGAAACTCTTGTCAAACAAACCCATGTGCGCGGCGCTGAAAGTGAGAACCACATCTTTAAAACGGCCCGCCCTCAATCCGTGAAACTCTTGCACATGTTTCAAGTGAATGTGCGCGGCGCTACGGCGAGAACCACATGTTGAACACGACCCGTCCTCATTCCGCGAAGCTCGGGCATACTTTAAACGAATGTGCGTGGCGCTACAGCGAGAACCACATGTTGAAACCGGCCCGCCCTCCATCTGCGAAGCTGTTGCCAATCTTTCAGCTTTAGGGTCATATCTGGCAAGGGAGTACTTTCGGAACGCCAGAGAATGCTGTTCGGTCATGCTCTCGTGCCGTGACATGCAAGGCGGTGCTATGCTACTAGTGGGCTGCTATGCAGCGCTATGCGCTGCATTGCATGGCACCTCAGTGCGTTTCACCTCCTCGCGTTGATATGTGGCAGAGGGGATGCCCTCGCGTCTGGAGGCGCCAAATCCTTCATTTCCTTTGTAAGGGGGGGAGCTAAGGTCTTAGGGTGCCCCCTGGAGGCGGAGGCGGAGAAGGAGGCGGAGGAGGACGCGCCAGGAGGAAAACTTTGAACGTCTCTGGCCCCTTTTGGGGGAAATCTCCTTGGGCAGGGTGGTGGCCCTCGTCGCCACTGCTGGATCCGCCTCGGAAAATTGTCAAAATCGCGCACTGGAACAGGTCGGGGGCCGACTGGAGGGGCGGAGGGAGAGGATCAGGAAGAGGAGGAGGAGTAAGAGGAGGAGGAGGAGGAGGAGGAGGAGGAGGAGGAGGAGGAGGAGGAGGAGGAGGAGGAGGAGGAGGAGGAGAGAGAAGATGAGGAGGAGGAGGAGGAGGAGGAAGAGGGTCAGCAGGAGTAGGAGGAGGAGGAGGAGGAGGAGGAGGAGGAGGAGGAGGAGGAGTTGCCGGAGGCGGAGGCGGAGGCGGAGGAGGAGGAGGAGGAGGAGGAGACCAGGAGGAGGCGGATCAGGAAGAGGAGGTAGGGGAGCCGGAGCAACGGGAGGAGCAGGGGTGCGGGCCCCCCGCCTCGCGCGACTCACGCTGGGGGCCCTTAGCGGTGGCTCCGCCCCTTTTCCATCCGACGTCACGTGGAGCACCGACGCTGGCGTGGGCGATGCTTACGATTGCGATGGTTACGATGACGACGACGACGACGATAATGACAACGATAATGACGACGATGGTGGCGACATCGATGGTGACGACGGTGCTGGTAACGATGACGATGACGATGACAATGATGTCTGCATCGACAGAGTCAGTGCGGAGGTGGAGGAGACACATGAACAACTCTTCCATGCCAAGGCGTCGAACGGCTCAACGAACGCGCGGCGCTCGCGGTCAGAAGCTGGATTCATGAGATATGACCTGCCGTGATCTCCTGTTGTCCGTATGCGCTCACCCAAAAACGCATTCTCTTTCTCTGTCAAATCCCTCTTTCCGCGCTTCCTCGAAGTAGAAGTGGCCATCTGTCTTGCAATTTTCAACATCTGTAAGCTGGTTTCGGGTCCCGGGGCCGTAAGCAAGACTGACCAACATGAACAACCAGCCCCGAGAAATTCATCGGGACTTCCAAAGATCCTGCATAGCATCCCCCACATCACATGCGACAACCTCGCAGGCTGTCTCGAAGCGGCAACACACCCCGGAGCTTCGGGGCAAGACGCAGCACAAGTGGGACGGAGAGTAATGACGATGGTGATGATGATGGTGATGCTGCTGCTGGTGATGATGATGATCATAATGATGATGATGATGATGATGATGATGATGATGATGATGATGATGATGATGATGATGATGATGATGATGATGATGATGATGGTGATGGTGATGGTGATGGTGATGGTGATGGTGATGGTGGTGCTGCTGCGATTGATGATGATGCTGATGATTAACATATTTCCGACCGTCAAGTCGGAACAGCTGGAGGTAAACTACGACTAGTTGACAAGTGCTGACCACTCACAGAGCAAACGATGCCGCCCATCTCGCTGATGCCGATGGCTGGAAAACGTAACGTCGCACCATCCTTTTCCCCCTACTGCTCCTGGTTCATCGCTATTCCTTAGGCTTATACACCCCCACTCTGCCAGCCAGCTGGCCGATAGCGACCCATTCCAGATGGTCCCATCCTACCGGCTAAAGGAACAATGCAACATCGATGTTTGTTTCTCAATGTGGACGTTCTGTCGCCCGTGTTGCAAAGTGCGTGGCAAGAGTGGGACGGGGCGCACACCCCGTGCGAGAGGCCGAACTGTCGCTCTCGCCTCGGAGCCGCGCTCCTTGCTCCTGCAGCTCGGGCGTGGTGCACCTTTTCCGCACGCGCCTTCGCCGACGCACGAACGGACGGACGTGTAGCTCTCGCCCCGGCGCCGCGCAGACTTCGCCCGGAAGCGGCGCTCCCGCCTTGACGCGGCGCACGCTTGTCACTCGCCGACTCTTTCGGGGCCCGCGCGAGTGGGCGACTTGTTGCCCGCGCCCAAGTTCTGTGCGCATCTGGGTCGGAAGTGGCGTTGCAGCGCGGGCGCGGCGCACGATTCGGCAGCGGCAGCGGGGCCGCAAGAGAGCGGGCGAAATGCCGACCTCGCCCAGACGCCGCGCAGTTGGTGAGCGAACGTGGCAATGCTGTGTCAACGCGGCGCATGCTTCGTCTTCGCCGCGCCCATCGGGAATTTTGCCGCACCCGCCCCTGTCTGACCCGCGTGGGTTTTCTCGTCGCCAAGTTGTCGGAAGCGGGACCGTGCGCGAGCGCCTTCCGTTTGCGAGGTGGGGTCGCGCACCAATCCCAGAACCATTTTGTGCCACAATGGATTCTTATGCTCGTGGAGGGGTGGGTGGGAGTAGGCGGGGCCCTCTGAATCGCTCGACCTAACTATCTTGACTCATCCTCCCACTGCTGCTTCTCTTGAGCAGGGGCCGACCGTCCCGGCATTCCTATAGGCCTACCACTACAAGTTCCTAGAACCGAAGAGCGGTCTAATACAAAAAGCAATGTTCTTAGAGCATGAACCCGATGTGTTCTAACAAGACAGTCGCAGCCAGAAATGTTCTAAGAACATCTCGTGCAGACCACAACCCGTTATTATAACATTCTTTGGTAGGCCTATAGGCCAGCCATGACGCCTCGCCACTGCTTGATTCTCCTCGATTCTCCTCCTCCTCCTCCTCCTCCTCCTCCTCCTCCTCCTCCTCCTCCTCATTGAGAAGGCGAAAACCCACCCCCACCCCCAGTCCCGACCCCATCCCCGAACCTGCAATTCAGAGGAGTCGGGACTGGGGGTGGGGGTGGGTTTTCGGGGTCCAGGAATGGAGAAAACCCACCCCCACCCCCAGTCCCGACCCCTTGAACCGCCGGCTCGGGGATGGGCGTCGGGACTGGGGGTGGGGGGGGGTTTTCGCCTTCTGACTCGTGCTTCTCCAACCGACAAGACATGATGGCTCCACATTGTTTGAGAAGCCCCCTCCGCTGCCCCTCCCCACTAAAGTTTTCAAACTGGCCATGCCAAACTACTTTCAGGTCGGGAGTCCCCCTGCAGGCGGATTTTGGACGAAGAATAACAAATACCCAACAAGTTTCAGAAACATATTCAAAGATGATCAATGAATCGTCTTCAGACTATGTTTTGACTATTTTCGAACATTTACCCTGTAGAGGGACAGGCTTGACTTAACGTTATTTGGATCCGCCCCTGTGCTACGTTTCCGATGGTACGGGGATCCGGCTATGCTGCTGGCGCACAATCAGGTAGAGACTCGTAGACTCCACCAACAACTTTCCTTCGGCATCTCGAATCCTGGCAGAGAGGAAGACCTTCTTCTGCTTGGCGATCTTCTCGGCAGTGACCTCCACCGAATTCGCCGGCCCAACGGGCCAGAGGCGTGCTAAGATCTCCGGTAATAGGTTAACAATATAACAAGTTCGCGCGCGCGAGGCGGCCCCTGGGGCCCCCGACGCGACAAACAAGTACCCCGCCAAAGTCGCGGGCTCCTGTGGGGCGGCCCTGCTCCTCCTCCTCCTCCTCCTCCTCCTCCTCCTCCTCCTCCTCCTCCCCCCCCTCCTCCCCCCCCCCAGACGGCCCAAGAGGCGCCCAAGACGGCCTCGAGAGAGCACCCAGACGGTCCAAGAGCCCTTGGAGTCCTCGAAAGATCGGCCGACGATGCACAAGAAGACGGTCCAAGGGGCCCCGAGTCGCCGAAAGATTGCTCCAAGACGCCCATGATGGTCTCCAGACGGCCTAGACGCCGCCGAGAAGCCCCAAGAGAGCCTCAAGAGGCCCTCCAAGAGGGCCCCAACAAGCAAAACTCGTTAAATTTCCGTAAGATAACGTACATTTCTGGCATAGGCGACGTTTGGAGGTCCACAGCGTCCAAGACTGCCCAAGAGCCCCCCAAGATCGCCCCAAGATGGCCCAGCATGCCCCAAAGATGCGCCCAAGAGGGCCCAAGAGGGCCCCAAGACGGCCCAAGATGGCCCCAAGACAGCCCAAGAGGCCCCCAAGACAGTCTAAGAAAGCTCCAAAACAGCCCCAAGAAGGGGAA